CTTTCCTTTCCTTTCCTTTCCTTTCCTTTCCTTTCCTTTCCTTTCCTTTCCTTTCCTTTCCTTTCCTTTCCTTTCCTTTTCTTTCCTCTTACCATACAAATGTAGGTATAAAGCTTTGGTGGTATGCTTTTTGTTTAATCTACCCTTTATCCCCTTTCTCTACTGTGCTTCTACGTCAGGTGCCTTTTCTGTGGCAGGTCCGTGTGTGACCATTTCCGGAACACTGCATTTGTCAAAAGCACATCATTAGAACTTGGAAATAGGAAGTTCTTTCCTGTGGTAGCTTGCTGTGGCAACAAGAGATAAGAAATTACTTCATGGCTATTGCCTGAGACTTTCCTTTTGACTTGCGTATCCTTCTTGAGCAGATCACTTCTCCTTTCCACCCAGCCTGGAGGCCAGGCCGTGTGAGCTGAAGTACAGGCTGATAATTTGCTAGTAGGTGTGATATTTAAATAATGGGTGTGGATGTGTGAAGAAAGTTCTGAAAAATAAGATTTGTTTTGTGTACTGAAGAAAATACTGCAAGCATGGGGATTTGCTATACCTTGAAGGCGTTCACAACATATGATTAGTGATATTTGTTGGCTGAATGCATGATTAAGATGGTTCATAAAGGTCTTGGAAAGGTAGTCATTCTTTCTGTTACCTAGGCAACTGAGAAAGTAAAAGTTAGAGGAGATCAGGTTGAAGCAGGCCAGGATCTGAAAGTGTGAGAGGAGAAAGGATGTGTAGAAAATCGAGGAGCTCAGTCTCTCCAAGGCCAGCTGGACTGGGAGTGATGGAGCATGTGATCAAACTGGACTCTCTGAATGTGGCTGGCAATGAAGGCTGACTGAGAAGCCAAGGACAAAGGCACTGGGCTTTGATTCTACTCATGGACTGACTTTGTGGGAGCCTGGTTTGTTTGGATGCTCACCTTTATAGACCTGGATGGAGTGGGGAGGACCTTGGACTTCCCACGGGGCAGGGAACCCTGACTGCTCTTAGGACTAGAGAGGGAGGGAGAAGTGGAAATTTTTAATAAATAAATAAATAAATAAATAAATAAAAGAAAATCGAGGAGAAAAATGTTGGAACAGCAGAAGGCGTGACACTATGGTGGTGGAAATGGAGATGGAAGAGGCGTTAATACAGACGGTGGAGGTGGCAGCAGAGGTGCTGGAGGAGGTGATGTAGGTGTGGTAGATGTGGCAGGACAGTAGAGACGATGATGATTGTAGAGATGGCAGAGGTGATGCGGTAGTCACGAACGACACAGTCAATGACATCTAGACAATTACTACCCAGATTACTCTTCTCAGCAACAGAGGTGGTAGTTGAGATGGTGGGGGTCAGTGGAGGAGACGGAAGAGGTGATAACAGAGATGGTAGAGATGACAACAGAGGAAATAGAGCAGGTGAAGTGGGGATGGTGGAGGTGACGGTAGAGATGTTGGTAGTGACAGCGGAGGACAGGTGGTAGAGGTGACAGTAGAGATTAAGAAGGTGGTACAGAGACAGTGAGGTGCTCACGGTGATGACGGAGGCAGTGACTGAGGATAGTGGTGGTGACAGAGATGACAGAGGTTGTAGTAATGGCACTGGCAGAGATCATGGGCATGTTGTTGGAAATGACGGTGGTGAAGGTGATAACATCATGATATAACCAGGACATCGTTTGGAGTCAGGCACATCTGCTCAAAATCTTTATCTGCCACTGACTGTCTCTATGAACCACAAAGCACTGATCTTTCTGAGTTCTAAGAATGAGGAATGGGATAATAGAGTGCTCACCTGTGGTACGGGGTTTCATCAGTGCATCTTCTTCAGTGTTCAAGACACCACACCCACATCTAGAATTTAACCACCTTTGGGCTTTCTCCTGTTTTCCGTTTCCTAAGATGGACTTGTGCTTTTAAAGAGTCCTGGCTGTGATCTGAATATATGCCTGTGAACCCTTTATGGCTGCTCATTCCCCATTTGGGACCTCCTGGGAGGTGAGGAGGAGTTAGGAGCCAGGGTTGAGGGACAAGTTCTTCTCCCCCCCCCATATGAGGGCACATGGCCCTCTCTGCAGACTCAGCCTTCATCAGGAACCTGGTGAAACCTGAGGGCTGGTGTCTTGATCTTGAACTTCTCAGCCTCTAGGATCCCAAGAGGTGAATTTCTGTGGTTATAAGTCACTTAGTTTATGCATTTCTCTGACAGGAGGAGCAGACCAAGACAGTCATTTTTTTAAACACAAACATTATAGCTAAAAGCCTGCTAATGTGTCCAAATGAAGGAATATCACCAGTAAAATGATATTTTGGGAATATTATCAATAATGCTTTAAAAAAGCAGGAGCAGAACTTTTTTAATTATCTAAAAATACTACAGAGAAGAAAGACTGAGGTGAAATATACTAAACTATATGAAGAGTAGGTTTATAGCTGGTGGTTATTTTTGGTTTTTGGTTTCTATTTTCAATGTTTTTTATTAGCGAAACATACTTGCCATAATAATCTGAAAACAATATAGGTGTCACATGAAAATAAGTGGCCAACATCTTAGCCCTTTGAGTCCATTGTTAAAGCTAAAATACAGTCAGCTTTCAGGGATGCTGTGGTCATGGATCACTGCGATCTCAGAAAAGGCTAAGAGTCATGGTATTTAGCTTTGTGGGGGATCCCCTTCAAGATTCAGGCTGGTGTAGAAACATGTGTCTGCTCTCAAATGAGAACAACCAAGAACCACCTGGGGCTGTCTAGGTTGATTAATTCCTAGACTCATATGAAAATAGGTCATTTTCTCTGAATGACTGCAGAGAATGGCTTTCTAGAAAGTTCAATAGTCAGTATGATAGTTTATAGCTCTTGATTAAGTTTATGTTTTCACACATGAAGAGTGGCTCATTTTAGTAGGGAATATCGTTAGGGATGTCCTATCATCTTAGCATAGCTGGGGAGAGGGTAAACACATAGTTTTGAAGAGTCAATATGTTTTTATTAGAAAGATCTGGTCAGACTGGGGAGATGGCTCAGTGGGTCAAATGCTTGCTTTGTAAGTATGAGGACATGAGTTCAGATCTGTGTAAAATCCAGGCAAGGGAGTGTGAGCCTGTCACTCCTGTTCTGGGTAGAGGAGTCAGACAGATGCTGGGGGTTCAGACAGTCTAGCTGAAATGGTGAGCCCCAGGCTCAGTGAGAGACCCTGCCCCAAAAGACAAAGTAGAGAGCAATAGAGGAAGACTCCTGATTTTGACCTCTGGCCTCCACATGTACCTGCCTGCACAAGTGAATGCACTGCCCACTCATGGGCATGCACAGATCTGCATACACATACATACATGCATACACACACACACACAAGTAAAAATAAATTTGTTCCTGTCACCTCATTGTGCCCTTGTGCCACTATGGAGTCTATTATTAGAGACTTAACCAAATGAAGTATTTGACTTGTAGGCATTAAGGAATCTCCTGTATTTGTCTTAGAGACCAGTGAATGAGACAATTGACAGAGGAAGAGGCGAAGGGCTAAACAAACTTTATTGAACGCTCACCTCCTATGCTGACACGGGCATAGAAATAGAAGCCATTAAAAGACAAGACATCCCCAAATAAAAGCCTCATGCTAAACTAGAACACAGATTAGGTTTTCAAAAATAAAAAAACTAGACAAAAATGAATAGATCTTTACTGAAAATTTAGCTAAGGCTAGCATAATGGTTAGCTATAATTGTTAGCCTAGACCTCAGGGAGGGGACTATACTGGGTTGACCTGTGAACATGTCTGTGGGACATTATCTTAAGTCAATGGCTCTTGGGTGACTGAGCCCACTGTGGGTGGAAACATTCCCTACACAGGGCCCCTGAAGGGTGACAAGTGAAGACCTCTAGTAGAGCACAGGGAAGCAAGTGAGCATGTGCACATCCATTTCTTTCTGCCCCGGACTGTGGGTGTGATGCGAGTGGTTCTCTCAAGCTCATGCTTCCGTGGTTTTCCTGAAACGACGGACTGGAACCTGGCGTTGTTAGCTAACACAAACCTTTTCTCCCGTAAGATGTAGCTCTGAGCTACAAATGGGGCACTGGACTTCACGTTTTCTCACTCGTAAAACTGAGATAAACATTCCTAACCAATTTGTTTTATTATGTGGGTCAAATGAGCAATTCACACAGGAGAAATATGTGCTGAAAAAAGAAAAAAACCTAAAAACCATTTTAATTAATTTTTAAAAGTCATATAGAGACTCAACTGGGATGCC